ATACCCTAGAGCCATAACGACGTAGCACCGTAGAGATTACCTTAAATATGAAGTTTCACAGAAGATGCTCATTGGATGCTTCTGTCGTCCACCCAATATTTGCTATAAACACAGAACTTTATCAATACCAGGAAAGATTACGGTCAGCATTACTTTAGTTTCTAGAAGATATTTATAAAAAGCAATAGTACTAATCATTTTCGACGTCTGATTTTTTTTTCTCCATGAATTTCTTTGATAAGTAGGCCTTATTTTGAAAAACTAAGCCAATATCATTCTTCGTCGTAGACTGTATGTATTTTTGCAACAACAAATTCTATTTCAATCACCTTGTCACATTTCATCAATGGTGGGTCAAAGGTGAGCATAAACAAGATCTTCTTTCCAATCGTTATATTCCAATTATCTAATTTCCTATAAAATGTACTGCTTATATTTTTGATGCTGAGTCTTTTTAGTTAGTCATTTAAAGTTCTTTTCAAATTAATATTTGTACTGTATTATCATGTTATTGAATTGGCGAGTGTGATTTTGACGATTGCGATTGTGATTATGGTTACAGATGTCATCTTTATCAACAATATCATTATCATCATTATTATCATTATTGCATTATCGTCATTGTCATCATCGTCAATATCAACATCATCATCAGCAGCATCATCATCACAACCACCATAGGCTGATTATCATTCTTTTTCGCCCAAGTCCACTTATCTACTATTAATAAGAATATGTTGAAGTCAACCGGCATAATGACGAGTACCTGCGCTTTACTTCAACAGAAATGCATGAAGAAAATTAGGCAATTAACGGAATGGAAATAATGTAATCTATTTTCCGACTGATATTGCAATAAAAGGACAAAGAATTTTTGTCCTTTTGTTGCAATATCAGTCGGAAAATAGCACATCTGATGTGCAAATTCTTCATTTTTATGAATGTAATTAATTACAAATAGCATTGTATGTATGATGATGAAATAATGTCGAAATATTGAATTCCGACACGATGGCGTGCATTTCGGTACTTGGAGTGTGTATTGTACTCTCTTATCTGATATTAATCAGTTTACCTTTCGGTTATTGTATGTATATCATACATGGCTGTCTTTCATTAAAACAAACATAATAAATCTACAGATAATAATATTATATGCCTTCTTCCTGATGACCTGGTAACGGTGATAAATGACATCTGCTGATAGGCCTAAAATTTAATTATTATGATATTGGTTTTCTCATAATTATTCTGATTCTCATTAAAAATAGTGTTTATGTTGCCTGTGTAAATAATATTTAATTAATAATTGTATTAAGCCTACAGATCATCGTAATTATAATACAGTTTATATTATATATACTTACGCATAATAATAATAATAATAATAATAATAATAATAATAATAATAATAATAATGATGATGATGATGATGATGATGATGATGATGATGATGATGATGATGATGATGATGATGATGATGATGATGATGATGATGATGATGATGATGCTGCAATAAAACATATAAAGTGCTATTAAAATTAAAAGTTTAATTGAAAAATAGCTGCAGAAGAATCCCATAAAAGAAAGAAGTGAAAATTCACAAAAATAGGTTTTAGTTGAGTCAAAAATGACTGAAGGACAAGTGATAATGATATACCACAGATCAGCTGGGAGCAAACTCCAAAGCTGCGAACGAATATTTTTAAAGGGCCAAATGACTTAACTACAATTATGTACTGTACTATAGGCCACAACAGGAGTAAACTGTTTCTTGGGCAATGCAGAGTTTATTTTTTAATTACGGTAATATTATAGAAATTAACAGTAAATGAGAATAATAATAACAGACCGTATAATAAAGATCAAAACAAGAAAAAAGGGCATTTCTTTTAATTTCGAACATTAAAAACGTTTTGCAAGAAATATGAATAAACATACAAATGTACATGTACACATACATGAAAAATAAAATTACGAAAATCAATAATAAATTAATAAAGTAAACGAGTAAGAAAATAAATAAAATAATAACACAACCAAAAAATGCAATCAATTTAAATTATGACGCACTTTAATAAAATAATGTAATGAAGTTTTAGTTTCTTACGAAAGGGCGAAAAAGAAGAGCATTTTTTAAGGTTGATATTGAATATTTTTCCGCAAACGAGGACATGAAACTGTAAGAGGAAAAAACCAGAGCTTAGTAGACGAGTAAAAGGAATATTAACATTTTCAAAGGTACCGGTATTCCTACGTAATGAGAAGTAAGACATTTTCTTTAATAGATCGAACATGGTTGGGCAAAGTTTGTTTTGGTCATATTAGGATAAAATTTAGATCTTGTGAATGTCAAAATATTTAAGTTGTGTTTTTTTTTTTTTTTAAATTAAAGTTCAGAATGAGTTCTAATTTGAGAAAAGTTGTTATTCATATTGTACGTTAATAATTTATTAATCTTACATAGGTCTGAGGAAAAATTAAAGGCCCAGACAAGATTATATTACAGTTGATGCGGTAGTCTTAAGGAATTGTACGTTGCATTATCAGTAATACATTTTATTGTTAGTTCCACTAGTCTGTCTCCCTCTGCAGTTTATATGGTAGCGTACGAGGCTTGGTAGCGCCTGTATTTTCATGATATTACATACTGCCAGCCAAAATAATCTAGTAAAAATTAATAACTTCCATAACATAAGTTTTACCTATCAAAAAAGTACTTTTCAATGAAAATACAAAGTAAGCAATTAATAACTTTTTTAAAGTTTATTATAGTACGAGGAGGTAGGGCCTACGATTTGATAGATTCATATACCGTAATTATATTTCATTTTATTTTTTCTTTCATTTATTTATTCAGACAAGTTCAATTAAACTTAATAAACGATAAAAGTATGCTTGTAATTATATAACCCCACCCACGACTAACGTCATCTTATTTCATAGCAACCTGAAATAGACATTCCGGAGTATCAATCAAACTTAACAACTGACCAATGAGAACAGGGCCAGGAATATGCGCGTGTCCTACAAACACACATCATATGTCCCACAAACGCACACACGTTGTGTATACCTTACCAACAATATCTAAGGGGCAGGGCTTAGCAAAAAGGTCAATTAAATTCCAGTAACCTACTTGATGATGATTTTGTTGAGCTTCTCTGTTTACCTATTTTACCAAACTGAAAACTGTGGGACAATTGTTCAAATATGCAATTCAATGCAAGGGCCTCCCCTGGTATTTGTGGCTACGGTATAGCAACATTATTATAAGTAGGCCTTCTTCTCTTCTTTAGAAAACTATTATTTAAGTTACACCCACTATCAAATCCGCATCTGGTTAATCATAGGCACTCCGAGGTCGATGTTCGCACTAGAATCACTGTTTTGGTGAAAACTTTTTGACCATTTTAGGAAGTATGAAATATTGAGGGAAACTGTTTAGAATAATCCGTTTATATTGAACAGAAGAGGCCTTATGGCGTCTGCAAGAATTCTGTCCAGTGTAAAGAACTGCTTAGAAATATGTATTTTATTATTTTTAATACCACGCCAAGCTGATTGTGTGAGTAACATTTTTTTCTATATTTTTGCCAAGAACCAAGCCGGCGGAAACTAAAGTTATGTTTGAAACATTTCATTGGGACAACGATTCTACATTCATAGTTCATATGCATAGTACATGAAATTATTTTAAAATGTGATGAAGACGAAATTCGTTGTAATACAAACACATCGGTATAGGCCTATTTAATGTATTGTATTAAAGATGTAGCCTATGTCCCATGCTAAATATAAAAAAAAATCATAAAAATATTTTTTAAAATTATCTTGCCCATTTTGAAGTGACATAAAAGTTATCAACCTGAACATATAAATTAGTGTTTTTAAAAAATGTCTACCCATCAGTTTACAGCGAAAAATTATAGAAACGCTTCCAGTCACTGAAAGTGTTTTATATTTTTATGATATTTTTTTGGTTTAAAAATCAGGGTACACATTTTATAAATTCAATAATTTCTATGCACGAGTTAATAATCTGTATGTTAATTGCAGAATGAGCAAGTTTATTTCAAACTTTTATTTTTAATGATTTTTTGACATTAGCAATTAGCAAATTAAATAGACGCGAACGCATATAAATAATTTAAAAAATATCGGATTGGATCCAGGATATGTTCATTTCGGACGAGACCTGTCGATTCTCTGCAGTGGCGTATCTAGA